GCGGGGGCCGGGCGGTCCTGCCCGCCTGGGGCGGCCTGCGCGGCCCGGCCCGGCCCGGCTGCTCCGCGGCGCCTGCGCTGGGCCAACTGCGGCCGAGCGGCCCCTGCCCGGGCCGCCTCCCGCCGCAGCGAGCGGGTGTGGGACGGCCTCGCGTCCCTCTGGGGGTAAGGGGAGAGGCGGGGGGCCCGTGGTGAGGGGGCGACGGGACTGGCGCTTTCCCGCCGCACCCGGCCTTGAAATTGTGCCGTGAAAGGGAGGGTGAATCCTGCCTCCTTGTCGGCGCTTCAGGGCTTGGGGGCGTTTCTGGGTATTTTTGGCCGTCAAGGAAACCCCCCTCCCCCGCCCCCCCCGTAGCGGGGGAGATGCCCCTGTGCCCCTCGCTCGTTCCGGGTGGTTCCAGCCGAGCGGCTCCGCGCACATCCACAGTCACATCCAGCCCCCGCTCCCCTCCCGGCCGGAGACCTGTCCGGGCATCGCCTGTGTCAGCCCTCCCTGCAGACACTCCTCCTCGCCGTCACCCATTGTCCACAAGGAGATGGTACCTTCAGATCCACACGCTGTGGAGAGCAGAGTGCGTGTTTTACCGCGGCATTAGCCGGGGCAAACGCTGTTGTCTGGTTGTAGTTCCATCTCCGCTAATCTTGCGTCTTAAATCTTCCCACGCTGTGGATCAGGCGGTGTCTCCAGTTGCCTGGGGAGCTGACAGGAGAGGCATCCGGCATAGATGCGGCCCCTGGCACCCGGCAGCTGTTGGGTATAGTCTGCAGTATAGTCTGTCCGGGCGCAAGGTGCCAGAAGTCTGGCTTGCTTTGCGGGCTTTCGGGGCTGGGAAGTGTTTTATAAGTCGACTTCATTTAAATTTACTTCTTTTGCTTTTTTGAGAGGTTAAGAAAACGTGATTGCAGAGAAAGTGCTTTGTTGTCGCAATTAGGAGTGGCTGGAGTAACCCAAAATAGAACTAGGTTAATCTATACACTGCTGCACAAATATCTTCCTCGTGAATTTCTGATTGATCTGGTTGAGAGCCTTCCTGTAGGTGCTTGATGTTTGAGGATGTACTCTGTTTGTTGTCTTCTGTCCCTAGGATTTGCTTGGCAAACATGCAGCACTGCATCTTAAATGTGGCAAGGGAAATCTAAGAGACTTAGGGGAACAGACTTGTCAAAAAGGCAGAAAAGTGGAAAACTTTGATGCTTACAGTTCTGTCATTGAATTAATGGCATGCACACTGAAATAGTTGTGTCAGAAATAATTACAGTAGTATGAACCTGGGATATTAAAAAGGGAAAAAATAGTGTTTAATTATGTTAGAGCTTTTGTTACACTTCTTTGAGTAAATATATCACCAGTGATGATTCATGAATATGTAGTAGTTAAGAGCAGAGAGTTATTTTTTATTGCTCTTCATAGGAGCCAACCTGATGTCCTTGGTGATATTGTTTGATAGCCAGGTGATGCCTGTCTGGAATTCATTTGGACCATATTCCTACTTCATTTTCTTGTCCTGTTTGTTTGTGTGCATGCCCAGGCTGTAGCTGCCCTCTGCAGTGCTACTGTGTGCTCGGGCTGCTGTGACAGTGAGCGCAGTGTGTGAGAAGCAGCCAGGGAACAAAGAATTGCACTTCAGTGTTTTCCCGATTGCAGCTTGTGCTCTATTCCAACTTGGGTTTCCCTGAGCTCTGAGGGACGGCAGCTGTGGGCTGTGCGCCCTTCTCCCTGAAACTTGTTTGCGTTGTATATCCTAAATGTATTTTAGTGAATATTTCAGAAAAAGCTGTGTTATTCATCTTTAAATAAGAAGGTGAATATTTATAAGTAATATGAAGTTTAGTTAAATTAATGGTAGATCATTCCAGTAGAAAAAGCCTCTTAAGTATTAGTATCTGCTGCATGAAGTTAATATTGACTTTTGAATTATTTTCCTGTAATCACTGAAAATCTTGTTTGCTACTCTTTGTCTAGAGGTTGAAATATTCAAACAAATTTCAGCAAATGAAAGTAAAAATCTTACAGTATAGCAAACCCAAAGATCTCCTCTTGATATGGGAGAATAACCAATGGTAATAGGAGCCTAATTATTCCTTGTTTTCTCCCTATCATCATATGGTAATTTTTGAGGTCACCTTAAAGTTTGCTTTAAGCTTTTAGATTGTTTTCTATACCTCAGCATTTTATGAGCAGTCCTACTACTTGAGACTACTTATGACTGTGTCAACTGACCTGCTAAATTCTGAGTGGTCTCCATTGCTGCTGATCAGTATTTAATCTCATGCTATTTTAACACTCATTTTTTAGAAAAAGGTAGAATATGTGGTGTGTGTCAGTCTCTAGTAGGATTGCATTATAAATTAATGCAATCCTACTAGATTGCATTAAATCTTCCCACGTGAAGTGGGATGCATCACTTTCAGGATGTTTCTTGACATCTGAAAGTAGGTCCTTAGAAAACTCACCACAGGAAAACATAGTTTGTATATATATATATATATATATATGACTTTTTTTAAAAAAAAAAATTTGCAGGTTTCTTATGTGCTTGAACACTGAATGAGTGCAGCAGAAAATACAGTTTTATAGCTCTCAATTGTACAAATGTCTTTGTCCTCTGATTCTGCTCCTGTTTTTTAGATGCAGGATTATGTATGTTGTGTGACTCATTGCTGTTTTCCTATTCTGTGTCTGCAGCTTGCTCCTGCTAGATGCATTATGCTGTATTTGTTCTGTTTTATAATAAAGTGTTGTTTACAAAATATCTTTGTTAGTGTGTATGTAGAAAAAATGTATTTGTTGCACCTGAATCCACCCTGCTGAGCTCAGCCTTGTAAAGTCTTTCAGTTCATTCTAAATAGCTCCTTATGCTCAATGCCAGAAGGGCCTTGGGCACAGAACATTTAGTAAACAGATGAGGAAAAGGTATGACCTTTAAAAAACTCCCCCAACCCTCACAGATTACTTAGTTTGAATGTTTTAGCAGTATACCCCTATGGTTATTGTTAAAAAGATGCCAACTTTATAACCAGCGCTACTCTTAGATTTAAAAAAGGAACAAATATATCTAAGGTACTGGAAGCAGTGCTTAGTTTTAGCAGGCGAGATTTACATCTTGGAGTAGAGCCTTACAGACTTGGAGCGGGAGGCAGAGGAAACATGCAGATCTTTAAGGAATATCTCTTGGGTTAGGTTTTAAGGTATTGCTACTGGATTCTCATGCTCAAAACCCTTGCCTTTTTAAGTATTGAAATACAAGCAAATGAAATCTTCATCCACAGAGATTAGTAGTAATAGCAGTTTGTTAATAAGTGGAATTTGAAGGACATAAGCCCTTCTGGTCAGGACCTTTCTCTTCTCTTGAAGTGGTAGTAGTCTTACATAGCAAAGGGAAAGTCCTTTGCACCTAAACCTCTATTTTCTTTATGAACCAAGGACAGCTCTAGTATAAATAATACTGCTTTGAAATTTTTTGGAGTCTTGCCCGTATACATGAGATCTGATTTTTATGATCAAAAAGATCTATGTAACATCTTCAGAAATGTAACTTTGCAACCTCACTTACTCACAGAGAAGTACTGTGAAGGCAAGAACCTTTGCAGTTTAAAAATAAACATCGAAGTACATGTTTGGTTTTAAATCTGAGAAATTGCTAACTTAAAATTACCATTCCAAGTAACTTAAAACAGATGTTGATATTACAAAAAGCTGTTTCTGCTAAAGCAAAATTTAGTGTTCAAAAAGGCAATTAAAATAACATTGGCAGTTATTCAGTGGAATAGATAATCTCAAATCAAAACCAAGGGAGCCAAATAAGTCTGACTGCCTAAGCAGAGTAATTGTCACACCCCTCCTGATTCTTCCATCTCACCTTTTCATTGGTTTCCTCTGAGCTTCATGAAGTATCTGTGCCTTTGCCACACTTCCCCTCAAATGCAGCGAGTATCCCCATTTTTTCTGTTTTAAAAATCCAAAACCAAAACACCACCACATGCAGGGAGAAGTAAAAGTCTTTTCTTTTTCACGTCTATGCAAAACACCAGATGTGTGTACATAAGTGGAAAGGTATGTGGGTGGGATCATGGGCTTGCATTTGTAACTTGCAGACAAAATCATAAAACTGTAGGCCTCAGTGACGGTCTCAGAGTCCTATCCACAGCCTGTTTCTGGAGCAAGTTAAAGTATTTGGGTGCAGAATGAGGTCTTCTGTCTCTTCTTTTGCCTCAGCTCAGTTTTGATTTGCATATCACTTTTGTGCTGGCATCACTTTTTTCTTGTCCATCAGACTGACAAAATTGTCTTTGTGAGTGCAGTTAAAAATATCTCAGATCGTCTCTGTGCTTAGGTACACCAGGACTTCAGTGTGTAACCTCACCCTCCTGTCAGTAAAGTTTTCCTGGTATATGCTTGTCTCTGACACAGTCAAAAATCTTCCCCAACTCTAATGTTGAATGATTTTCTCGGTATAACAACCTGTGGTGTATGTGACGGGCTGGTCCTGAGCTCCAAGTTGTGTCACTTTAACAGTTGCAGGTTAGTTTGGAAAAAGAGATTTCATGCTTAAAAGTCAGTTTTCTAGAAATGGGGAACTTTTTTCTCCCCAAACTTTTAAGAGTGAGATACACTTCATAGTGTCATCATACAGGTTTATCTGACCAGACAAAGGAGAACTCAGATCTTAGTCAGCACACAAGAATGTTTAAGTCAGAGAAGAGCTTTTAATAGGAAGTTTTGATTTGAATCTTGTTACCTTTACATATCCTTTGTGCTGTCGTGTCCAGTGTAATTAGTACAAGCTGAGCAACCTAAGTTCCTTCCTTCCCAGTCATTCTCACTCCCAGTTTTAGAGCCTCTCAGATCTTTTCAAAGCAGATCATGAGAAGGACAAAAAATTCTGAGGTGTTTTGTTTTGCTTCTGCCCTAATTTGCTTGGTATCTACACAACTTGTGCTGGACAAACCTCTTTATTGGTTAGAAGTTTCTGCATGCTGCCTGCCACCAAGTCTCTGGGTTGCAGGTGTGCCTAAGTAGTAGGATGAGTAGAACTCTGTTTAAGTCCTCTTTTTACATTTTGTATACTGTAACAGTAAAACAGGACTGACCCTAGCAGGAGACTGCATAAGTAACTGCTCTGAACGGTCCCTGGATAACCTGTCAGACAAAGATACCAGTATTTATTTTGCAAGAAACAGTGTGAAAGCATGAAACCTGAAGGTCGTAAACCAAAGACTGGGATTTTAGAAGATTTGAAGAAACAAAAAAAAAAGAGTAGTTTTGAATGCCATATATATTTTACATCAATTTAGTACTGTCTTCCCTTTTCCCCAGCTAAAGAATGTGCATTTCTATATGAAAAAGACCTTGAATTGGTCAAAGAACAAACTAAAATTATCCTGGTAAAAGTACAGTTTGACTGGGGATAATATTAGTAAAGCTTGGCAAAACTGATTTTTCTTCATAGCTGCCAACCTTTTTTTTTTTTTTACTACAATTGTTCATTATTTCACCAAACTAAATAAAACATTGACCCTCAGGTAATCCTAGTGAGCAAAATTCCCCTGTGATGTAAGTGGCCCAGCTCCTTCTGAAAGACAAGACAAGTGAGCTGCAACTCGGGGAGCAGTGCCTGCTGAGAGCGTCTGTTCAACAGTGTTTGCTGAAACTCCTGGTAGCCTGATGTTCGACACAAAAGCCCTTGGGAGTCAGCTCAAGGACACAGTAGCATCACTTGTTTCCTATGTGTGAGATTTTAGAGGGAAGGATGAAAGTTTGTGGATAGTTCCAGAAAGTAGAAAAATACATCATTAAATGAATCTTAGCGAGGGTAACATCACTTTCCCTCATATTTTTATCTCAGTTTTACCACATAGAGGTGGTGAAGTCCTAGGTCTTATACCTGTGTGGGTTTTTAACTGTTTTGTATTTATAAGCTCTTGCTAGGCTTCTGGGTCTGTTCTTGTTTAAATTCTGAAGAAAATGTCAGCTTGGTATACAGGCATTTAGATAGATTTAAATTTTGTTGTTTTAAACCGAAAGCCAGCAGCGTGCCCAGGTGACCAAGAAAATCAGTGGCATCCTGGCTTGTATCAGACATAGTGTGGCCAGTAGGACTAGGACAGTGATCGTCCCTCTGTACTGGGCTCAAAACTGGTTCTGGAACATGTGTAGAGGAGGACAGTGAAGCTGGTGAAGGGTCTGGAGCACAAGTCCTGTGAGGATTAGCCGAGGGAGCAGGAGTTGTTCAGCCTGAAGAAGAGGAGGTTTGAGGCACCTTATCACTCCCTACAGCTACCTGAAAGGAAGTTGTAGACAGGTGGGGGTCAGTCTCTTCTCTCAGGTAACAAATGATAAGAGACAATGACCAAAGTTGCACCAGGGGAGGTTTAGATTGGATAGTAGGAAAAACTTTTTCACTGAAGGGATTGTTGAGCACTGGAACAGGCTCCTCAGGGAGTCACCATCCCTGGGAGTATTTAAAAGACACATAGATGTGGCACTGAGGAACATGGTTTAGTGGTGGGTAATGGTGGGTTAATGTTGGCAGTGCTGGGTTAATGTTGGAGTTAATGATCTTACAGGACTTTTCCAACCTAAGCAATTCTGTGTTCTCTGAAATTGTTAACAAATCATGTAGGTGATACGGCAGTATCTTCATTCTGCAACAAAAGATTTTCTCCCTCCGTCACTTATGCAAGTCCATCTTTTTTTTTTTTGTTTCTGAAGCCTTCCTATAAATACTACAAACTCTTTTATCCTGTGTGTTTGGTCTGCTGTACTGTTTTCCATTGAGTAACTCCTTGGTCCTGCCCCAGAGGCTGCTGTATTTACAACTCTCTCTTTGCCAGAGCATAACTTAACCCAGTGTAACTTTGAATGTTAAGGACTTCTTGGGATTGATCTTTTGCTACAGTCTGTTCTAAAGTACAGTAATGATCACGCAAAAATGAGTCTTTGTGTAGTTGTATTGTTTGATTAATTGCAGGCTTTTGGCCTCTCTACTGGAGGGAGGGTGTTTTCTTGCCAGTTTCAGCTCTGACAAAGTAGAGATGCTACAACTGGGCATCATAGTCTTGAAAGTGAGCGTGTTCCATGGCCCTTGCAAATGTGTCTTAATGACTTTAGTTATTCTTTAATTTCTCTTTGTTTGTCAGCATGATATCTGGGGGGTTTCCCTCTCCAGGATTAAAATGAACAGTTATTTTTTTCTTTTTCAGTGAAAAACACCCAAGCCCCTCAAACTCCAATATCTGTCTTGAGTTCCATTATGTACATCTCTCTTTGCTGAGAGATTAACCTCTTGAAGGGGATTTGGTGTTAACTGACTCATTGCCTCCTTATTTTCGTTCCGTCTGATAGTTGCCAACACATCCCACACTTTGCAAATCTAATCTAATCTTGATTCTATATCTTGATTATTTGTCAAATTAGAATCTTAAAGAAAAAAGAACTTGTATTATTAATAGGCAAAGTATGTCAGAATCTACAAGTGCAATGTTTACTTTGTTGTTGGGGTTTTTTAATTAAAGTTTACTGCACTGCGTTTATTTTTTGAAATCACAAATGTTTGGTTAGTTTTGTGTTGTTTCTTACTGAGATTTCAGCAAGACTTTCATCGCTCCTTATGTTAGGAACAAAATTTCCTGAAAACAGAATGTTTTCATCTCATCTGGATTCATGTCAAATTTAGATGTGCCTGATGGTTGAGTATGAAAGGGGAAAAGTATTGGGCCACTAATAGTTACTGAATTTCCAAGGAAGTTACTTTCCTCAGTTCCCACACTTTCCTGTGTTCCTCCAAACTCTGTTGACTTCAGTCATTTCATGTTTGTGTTGGGTAATAGCCTGGAGAAGAGCACTGGCAGATATATAGTGTCACAGTTTGACATTACTATGTCAAAATGCCTCGTTGTGCTGGTGTCTGAGTATAAAACAAACTAGACAGCACTTGCAGGAAGTTTTTCATCACTGCTTTCAGTTCCCCCCTTCCTTCCTTCCTTTCTCCTACCTTTTCTTCACATTGGAACTGCTGTTAGATTTTTCATATTAAAATGCTGGGTTTTCCATATTTAACTATTTTAAAATTTAGGCTCAGTGGTACTGATTTTTCTCACTGCGCATTCTCTGAATCTCTGGCAGAAGTCCTGGAGGGGATTTGGGAGCGAAGAAGAAGAAAAAGAAGCAGAAGAGAAAAAAGGAGAAACCAAATTCTGGAGGCACCAAATCAGATTCTGCATCTGACTCCCAGGAGATTAAAATTCAACAGCCTTCAAAAGTGAGAGCCTGGTTCTGTTTTAATTTGTGCTTGCTTCCTAATTTAATTTTAATTTGCGCATTGCTTGTTCTAAAAGCAAGGTGATAGTTCTGCCTTAACACATCAGAATTGAGCAAATGGTTCCTGTCCTGAGCAGAAACAGAAGCTGGACAAGACCTGGTGTTTGCAAACTGTATGAAGTGAGCTGGAGAGCTGTCATCACCACCATGGTGGTGAACTGTGAGAAAGACAGAGGAGGAGATGTTTTGTCTTTCTTTTCCAGCAGTTAGAACTCAGGCTAGTGACAGCTTCGTTGCATGCAATCTTAATCTGCAGTAGTAGTGCTTTTAAATTTCGTTTTTGTTGAATAGCCTTTACTTTAGCCACCATGGCTATACTTTAGACCTGGCTTAGTGAAATTTCGGTGACTTGTACGGCGCAGTGCTGTCTCAGCAGCAGCAGCAGCAACAGGAGGAAGGTGGACCTGCTGTGCCAGCCAGAGTCTTATTTGGGCAAGTAAGCAGCATGTCAGTATATATAAAATGTGGTAATCTCAAACATGGAGATACAGGCTGAAGAAACGTTTTGCCATTTGAAAGACCTCTGCTATAAATAAGAATGCAAAATTATCTGAGAGGATGCATAGTCCTTGTGGACTTTGTGGTAAAATAGCATTGTCTATGTGCTTTTGTCTACCGTGTTCTGAATGAGCAGTGAATGACATGATTTGGTGTCCTTTTAGCATACAGGTTTTATCTCAAGAGAAATCTGAGTTTGAGAACTGAAGTTTGTAAGACTAAAAAAGTTTATGGACCACTGAGCATGTTGAAATAGTTCTATTTGCTTTCTCAAGTTAATGTGTAGAATGTTACACCATCGTACCAGTAGCAATCTTCATTCTGTAAGATTTGTTGGTTACACTGGGGCTACCAGCTAATTTTAGGGGGAAAAAGTTGTGTTCTGGCTCGTTAACATACTGGAAGATTCTTGTGTTGTCTCTAGATCTTCTCTGTGTCCCCCTGATTACTTTGAATAGACACATTTGGTACAGGGAACACTTTAAATATGTATAGATCTTAAGTACTTTCTGATTTCACTGCGTGTTTTGGACAACTATCCTGCTTTAGATTTTTTTGAAAGAATCGTAGGCTGCCGATCTGGCTCAGTGTGGAAAAGTATATTTTTTTTCTCTGCTACTCAAGTAATATTTAGATTTTGTATTCCTTCTGCTATGTGAAATATAGGGAAAAAAGGCTTGTAGCATTTGCTTGCTCTTGGTTGAAAAGAGCTTTAGAAAATATTTCAGAGAAAAGTGACATTGTACACCTGCCTCTAAGAGAATATATACAGGATCATCATGTAATACTCAGTGGGGCTCCTGAACTCATTGAAAATGATTTTGAAAAGAGATTTTGAGGTCATGTGAGTTTGTAAAGGGGTGTATCACTTTGGACATTAGGAAAACAGAACAGTGAGTCTCCTTGGCTTCTCCCTTTCTTATGAGTGATATTAGACATTTTGAGCACTGATGTGAGTGTAACCACAGCAATAAATGCTTGTTGTTAGCACTGTATGTTTACAGTGACTTTGAGGACACTTCACTGCCCATCTCAAAAGATTTTGATCACTCCCTATTTATTACAAGTGCCAGTGATGTGGACTCTCCACACTGACACGAAGGAAGCTTGCCATATCTGCAGTATTATCAGTCATTATTTTAGTCACCAGTGGCCTAAACAACATAGTCCTGGAATAACAGCTTGGAAGGGACATATGGAGGTCTTTCAACCAACCTCCTGCTTAGAGCAGATCCAACTAGACAAGGTTGGATCAGTCAGGCCTAGATCAGCCAGTTTAGTCTCCAAGGAGCCTCCACAACCTTTTTGGGAAACCTATTCCAGTGTTTGACTACACTTTTGGTTGAAAAAAGTAGTAATTCCTTGTATCTAAATGGATTTTTCTTGTTTGCAATTTGTTTCCTTTGTTTTTTATGCTATCATTATGCTCCTCTGAAAAGATTTGGCTCAGCTTTCTTTACATCCTTTCATTAGGTAGTAATAAGATTTCTCTTACTTCCTCAGTCTTCTCTTCTTAAGGTTAAACAAACCAAGGTCTCTTGTCTTCTTGTGTGTCATGTGCTTCAGCCCCCCATTAATCTTGGTGGCTCTCAAATGAACTCTCTACATTCTGTCAATGTTTTCCTTGTAATGGAGAACATTTCCTTTTAGTGGAAGCTGTGAGACCTCAGGGGTGCCAATAAAGGGGAAAACTTGCTGCCCAGTCTTACAGGTACGACTCACTATTCAGCTGTCCTTTCCTGGCCAGCAGATTGCTGGCTCATGTTCAGCCCTTTGCCCACCAGGACCTCCAGGTTCTTTTCTGCAAAGCTGCTACCTAGCCAGTCCTCTGCCATTGCATGAGCTTTTTCTATCCCAGATAGAGGGCTTTGCATTTGCCTTTGTCAAAATTAATTTTCTGTTTCCAGACTGTCAGAGTAACTTTGAATAGCAGCTCTGTGGTCCAGCGTATCAACATTCTTGCCAAGCAGGTATCATCTATGTACTTGCAGAGAAAGCACTCTTTGTCATGTCATTAAATAGTATTGACCTCTACATCCTCAAAATCCTTCCCCTTGCCTTCTTGAAAATGGATATTTCCTTTTTTCCATTTGTAGGAAAGCACCACTTGCTCTAACCTTTAACTCTTGACACATGTTAGTTGCACTAACATCAGACAGCTCCCTCAGCACCCTCACGTGCATCTGGCCTGTTTTTGGGGACCTGTGCATGATTTGTTTGCTAAATGGTCCCTAACTTTCTTTCCTGCTGTGGTTAATGGAAGTCTCACAGACTGTGCTACAGGGCTGGGGGACATCAAAGGCCTGAGGTCATATCTTGCCACCAAAACTGAGGCAAAAACATCGTTGTGTACCTCAGCCGTGTTGCACAACAGTGCTGTTTTGTGCTATGAGGAGATATTTGCCCTAAACTGAAATTACACAAAATAGCTCTTTTTTTTGCTAATTCATGTCAAGTTCTTGCTTTCCATTAAAGGAAAACAAAAAGGGTTGAAAGTAAACTTCTCAACCAGGCTGATCCCTGAATATTTTAAACAAAAAGGGGATTCCTCCTGATGTCCCTAACCGTGTTGTATTTAGTACCAGAACATGAACTTCTTACTTTACTATTATGCTAGTGCAATCTTTCTTAGAACCTAATATTTTAATTTTTTTTTAGATTTTCTGTTTTCTTAATGTAGAAAAAAACAAATCAATTACAGTGCGTCAACATTTATGTGGGATTTCATAAGGTATTAATAAGATTTCAGAATTTATCTAGTGGCATTAGAAGTATTTGTGTCAGGTCAGTGTATAACAGACAAATTGCTTTTTAATTGGGAAAAGTAACTTATGTCTCTGTAGTCTGGATATAGAAATACAGTAGGCTTTTTATGCTGCAGCAGTGTTGCTCTAAACTATGTCAATATGTTCACAATATTTGTTCACAAATACTTAGGTGACAGGTGTTTAAAGCATGCTTACAGGTAAAATTTTGCAATACTTAAACGTTATGCATTTTCTTTCATTAATTTAAGTAATTTAAGATTTTATTATAAATAGTAAATGATGGACTGCTTGAGCTCCAGGCACAGACTGCTTTTGTGACAAAGGATACTAGAGGCAAATGTCCACCCAAATGAAGCTTTACTGTCATTATTACATTTAATTTATGGTGGTTTTTCAACACATGAATACTAGAAAGAAATATGGAAATAGCAATCCATTGCTATTCAGTAAAAAAAAAAATCTGACTTGAAATCTCTATGCAGAATTGCTTAGAATTTCCCAATGGACTTGAGACTGTTCCTTCAAATGCATTATTGCACTGCAGTGTTGGGAAACTGAGCACAAGCATTCTGTTAGTATACCTCAGAATAGGACTTACCACTTGGCAGATAACAAAACACAACAAGTAAATAGCTTTTAAAAGAGGGGAGAAAATCCCTGTAGATTTAAATGTCTGTTACCATTATTCTTCTGTACTTTCTTATGCAGGTAAAATTCTCATTCCAGTTGCAGTTAGTCAGAGTGATCAAAAGTGAGGGTTTAACAGCTTAGTTTACGAACATTTAGTCTTAGGTTTATGCTTTTCAGATAACTTTTCTATAAAGATTTTTCAGCTTCTAAGTGGAAAGTTGGTTTATTTTATGTTTGTCAGTTAAAATGGGAGTGATTGGGAGTGTTGGCACACTTGACATTAGTGGCAAGGTGGTTAACTCCTCCACATATGATGCGGAAAGGTATCTAATAATTGCAAGGTAATAAAGGCAGATGCAATATAACTAAGGTTAAAACGTGGCACTCCAGTGTACTTGGGTACTACTGAGCCATAGTGAATTTAAATATTATTTTATATTGTATGTGTAAACTACAACTTCAAACAGCTCCGTGTGTTCCAATGATATCTTTAGATTTTTATATATCTAAGCTGACCTGCTTTTTTTTGTTTTATTGTATTTTACCAGAGGAAACAGGGACTATAAGAAGCTCTTACTATTGTGATACTGTGTCCTGTCTTGATGCTGCAGTATTTGTGTTAAAAATGTTGAAGTTTCATGGTTAAATGCAAGTGCTACTCAAGACTGTTAACTATTTTGTGAAGTTGCTTGCTATTGCCCACCTTTTTTCCACCCTTCTGTCTCCAAAGGTTATACCCAAACTAAGCATGATGAGAAGAATACATGAAAGAATACATAACAGTAAAAAAAATGAACAATTTTTTACAGTTGTTCAAAGTAAACATACTCAGTAATCTTCCTCTTCTGTTTGTCTACATGTGCAGAATCCAGCCATTCCAATGCAGAAGCTTCAAGACATCCAGAGAGCAATGGAGCTGCTCTCTGCATGCCAAGGCCCAGCAAAGAATATTGATGAGGCTACCAAACGTAAATACCAGTTTTGGGATACACAACCTGTACCTAAACTCAGTAAGTTTAACGGGATCTGGGCAAAAGATCTGTCTTATGACCACTAAGGGAATGTGTGTGCCAGCTCTGTGGCATGTTCTCTGAAATGGGTATTAAGTTGGACTGTGCGTGATCCTTAAGATCCTTAATCTTTTGTATAGTTTATGTGGAATTCTTGATGTTTTCTAGGGAAGTGCTTGCCTCCCCTCCAGATAATTTACAAGAAGATACAGTGTTAATAAATCTCATTCTGATGTTCTCTATAAAAATGGGAAATGCTATTGAAATAGCATTTCATTGTGTATTTTAGGTCTGAACTCTTGAACAATAGAACGTAGAGGTCTTTTCCACTTAAAGGGAAGTAAGAACTCTTTAAGTGGTGACTAAGTGTAAATTTAGTTTGGTTTTTTTTAAATTTGTTTGTTTGTTTATATTCCCTTAAATTCTTTTCAACAGATAGATTTGCTGTCAGAGAAATAATGACTCTCCTGCTGTAGGTTACACTGTTTTTTTCATACAGCTTTAAGTGGATAATGGCACTTTTCTCATGTGCAAACTCTTTCACTGCTGTGTGTTCATGTTCTCCACAATGTACACTGCCTCAAAGATGTGCTTTCTCAGAGTCTGTTCTCTGTTCTTGATACCAGGTGAAGTGGTGAGGTGACCTCTCCTTGCCTTTACATTTCTAATGAATTTGGAAAGTTACTTTTTATACTGATCTGATCCCTGATAACACAGTTGGTATATCTTAGTCTTCGTTGAAAAAAGATAGTTGCTTTAGTTGCTGACTGTCTTGTTTTTCCTGCATTGCTTTCTGACTCTTCTTTTTCTGCTTTCGTTATCTTCAAGTTAAGCAGTTGTAGCTTTTCAGTGCCCACAAAACGTGGGGGCCTCAGAAGTAAAACATTCTCATTACAGTAGCTGTCATTGTTTGTCCTTCAGGTTTCTCTCCATTGCTTTGGAGACTGGTATAGAATAAGCAGAAGTAAGGTAGAGTGTAAAGCATGGTAGCATGCTGCTCTCTCTCTCCACAGGACAGAATTTCACATTAATCCATGTCTATAGCTTAATCCGCAGTGATCTCATTTCTTCACGACTTTGATGCGTAGAGAAGTCCATAGCAGAGTCCCTGCATACTGTGTTTCCCCTGGATTGAACTGACCTGCCATGGCTTTTTTCCATACAGACTATCCAGATACCTTTGTAAACTGATGGTAGTAATTGTCACCAGCAATCCTGCCAAAGTAGAGAAGACCTTAGCTGAAATAAGTTGATGTGTAAATCAAAAAATACTCTGGCCATAATGAAGCTTTTTCAGGCTAGTTCAGGTGTCTGCACAGTACTTCCAAGAGTTCAGTTCAGGTTAATCAATATATTTTACAGCACTTACATAGAGATGAGAGTCTGCCAATTGCCAGCCTAAAAACGTCAATACATTGGCTTAGAAAATGATTTGTTAGTGTCGTTCAGGAGAAATATGCTTTGTAAAATTTGGTTAGCAAGGTTTTGTCCAACAGTGCCTATGAATTTCTTCTTAATCCCTTAGATTTATTTTTTTTAAGCTTTTCCTTTATCTGCTGAATGAACAGATGGGGAATTCATCACTATTTGATGTGCTCTGTGTGTTTAGGTGGAAAAAATAATCTGTCAATTCAAGAAATAGTTGTAGGGATCTTTGCATTAAATTAACTTTGGAATCCTTCTGTCTTCAAGCTAAGGTTGTTAGCAATGGGTCCTTTAGTTAGGCCAAGCCTGCCATGTAGTGGCAGTAACATTTGGGATGTTGGTACTTCTCAGAGTTTGCTTAAAGGTGCTAATAATGGTGACCTTCCGAGCTGGATGGCAAGCCATAACTGTTTGTCAGGATTGTGCATCATTTGGGAAAAATTCATACTACTAAGGAATATTTGACTCTCAAGAGCCTGATGATTGTTATGATAGGATTGAGTGTTTATGGGTAAGAATCAGGGGGAAGGCCAACAGGGCAGATACCATGATGGGAGTCTGTTATAGAGCTCCTAACCAGGATGAAGAGGCAGATGAAATATTCTGCAAGCAGCTAGAAGTCTCACAATTGCTGGCCATTGTTCTCATGGGTGACTTCAACTTACCAGGTGTCTTCTAGAAATACAATACAATGGAGAGGAGACAATCTAGGAGGTTCCTGGAGTGTGTGGAAGATAACTTCCTGACACAGTTGGTGAGTGAGCCAACTAGGGAAGGTGCTCTGCTGGATGTGTTGTTCATGAAAAGACAGGACTTTTGGGTGATGTGATGATTGGAGGCTGTCCTGGGCACAGTGACTGTGAAATCAGAGAGTTTCCAATTCTTGCAGAAGTAAGGAGTGGGTCAGGAGAACTGCCACCTTGGACTTCTGGAGGGTAGACTTTGTCCTGTTTAGGAGCCTGGTTGACGGTGTCCCTTGGTAGGCAGTCCTGAAGGGCGAAGATGTCCAGGAAAGCTGGATGTGCTTTAGAAGGAAAACTTAAAGATGCAGGAATAGGCTGTCCCCTTGTGTCGAAAGATGAGCTGAAGGGGAGGAAGATGGGCCTGGCTGAATAGAGAAATTTAGCTGGAACTGAAGTTGTGAATCAGTAATTTGGGCCACTTAAAGAATCACCATCAAAGATATCAGCAAAAAGCAGGTTTTAATATAAATTTGTGGAAGTGCAATTTAACAGAGTTTGATGGCAACGTTCACTCTATTACTTACTACGTAGATGAAGCATACATAGGAAAATGGAATTAGAAGCAATTTAGAATGATTTACGTGGAGGCTGTGGATGCAGAAGGGTCAGGGTGCCAAGGATATGGGTGCAAAAAGATAAGGGTGCAAAGGAGTTTAGCAGTACTCTAATCATTGACTAATTTAACATTTATGAAGTGATTCAGTAGGATACTACAATTATAATAGTGACTTAATTGTAGATTCTACATAACAACATTCATACTATACTCAATTCACCCACATTGCAGGCAGGCACGGAGATGTAGACGTGTTTAGGTTTGCAAAGGTATCTGTTAAAAATTCCCCTGCAGTTGTGACATACTCACATCAAGTCCGTTTCCATTTCTCAGCAGGAAGGGTTGAGCCTCGAGGAGCAGGGGTGTCAGCCTGAGGTGGTGTTGAGGGCTTGACCTCAGCAACAGTCTTTGGAGTATCACAGACTTGGGATTTGCAAGCTCCAAGAGGCTTCCCACTCAGAGGGAGGTGCTGGTGCAGCCCACTGTGGTCCAGGACAGCTTAAAGGGCCTCACTTAGAGTCCCTCTTCATGGGGTTGCAAGGTGACTGGCTTTAGTCATCAGTAAGTTTCCCTCCTGGCCATAACCCACATTGGTAACTGCTTTTTTGGGGGAAAAAAAAAGATCCAGTAGCTGTGGTACCATTTCACTTTGGCTACAGTTCAGGTAAATAGTGTTCCAAGGCTGTGAGGGGATAACTGATTATCTGGGGATAAATGATTATCCTTTGTTCCCCATCTTGTTCAGGCAGTGGATGATCCTGATACAGTCAGTGTCGCTCCCGCCTTTACTATGCCGGAGCTTCTGTTATGGTCAAGGGATGTTTCATGGCCCAACTTTGGTAGTTTGGTCAAGGCTTACCAGGAACTCCTGAGATTGTAGAGCAGGCCCAAGGAGGGATGGGGCGCATGCACCACCAGAGGAATTCAGGAAAGAGAATGATGGTTTATGGCCTTTGGAGGAGGGGCTGACAACTCAGGAGGCCTGTAGGGATGCTGTGAGGTAATGCAGGGAGAAAATCAGAAGGTCCAAAGCCCTTAGAACATGATCTGGCTACTGCCATAAAAGACAGTGCTACAAGAAAGATATTGAGTTGCTGGAGTGTGTCCAGAGAAAGGCAACGAAGCTTTTGAAGGGTCTGGAGCACAAGTCTTATGAGGAGCAATTGAGGTTGTTTAGCCTGGAGAAAAAGAGGCTTGGGGGGACCTTATTGCTCTGTACAAGTACCTGAAAGAGATTGTAGCAAGGTGGGGGTCAACCTCTTCTCCCAGATAACAAGCGATAGAACAACAGGAAACGGCCTTGGGTTGTGCCAGGGGAGATTTAGATTGGATGTTAGGAAAAATGTCTTTACTGAAGGGGTTGCAGAGCATTGGAAAATGCTCCCCAGGGAAGTGGTAGATTCACCAGCCTGGAGGTTTTGAAAAGATATGTAGATATGATGGTTCAGTGGCAGGCTTGGCAGTGTAAGGTTAACGGTTAGATTATGATCTTAAAAGTCTTTTCCACCCTAAATGATTCTATGATTTAGCATGTGCTGCTCCATAGAAGAAGAACAGCAGCTGTTAATAGCTGTACACTGAGGGACCGGAGTTTTGTAAAGTAAGGAAGGAGAAGAAAGCATGCCTTCATGTAGGATTTTAGGAACACTTCTCACATATCAGCAGTATCTTTTAAATGCCCTGGCTTTGCTGTGCCACTGCTCCTGAGTAATCCTGTTGAGATCAGGTCTGTTCAAGTCGGTGGTAAACAAGATCTGAGCTTGTTAGATGTGAGTACAACATGTCTCTCATAATGAGACTGTAGATCTCGTGGCTTGCTAAATGCTGTGCATGTGCTGATAAGTTGTCCTGTGTTATGAAATAGTGGGTATCAGTTGAGGTATTCTGTGCATATCTATAAATATTCTGACAAGACAGTCATTGGTCTGAATATGATCTGTGAGAATGAAAAGTAGTGTAAACTAATAATACTAATTTTTTCACCATTTTTTAAAAGCTTCATGTTCCTATCACATAATTATGAGACAATACATGATGTGAATTAAATGCAGTTTAGAGAACTATCAGGAAAGCTAGCAATATAACAGTTTTTTGGGTTTTTTTTTCCCCCCTCCTCCATCAAAAGATGAAGTTATAACTTCACATGGTGCAATTGAACCAGATAAGGACAATGTCCGCCTAGAGCCATATTCTTTGCCACAAGGTTTTATGTGGGACACATTGGATCTTAGCAATGCTGAAGTTGTAAGTAAAACAATTTTTATATATATCTAAAATAATTCAAGTTTATTCTCATTGATGCATGGATAAATCTTTGTATTTTTTTGTGTGTGTTTTCAGCTGAAGGAGTTATACACACTGTTAAATGAGAACTACGTAGAAGATGATGATAATATGTTTAGGTTTGATTATTCACCTGAATTTCTTCTGTGGTGAGTAGCAAGTTCCATATTCTGTTCTGCCTGAAGTGCAAAGAAAGGTGTTTTTATTACATCTTCTTAGGCAGTAATTTGTAATTATTTCTGTCATCAATTCTAGGGCGTTACGTCCTCCAGGCTGGTTACCCCAGTGGCACTGTGGGGTTAGAGTGTCTTCAAACAAAAAACTGGTAGGATTCATAAGTGCCATCCCTGCAAGTATTCGTATATATGACAGGTAAAATGCACCATTAGTTTTGTGTTTGTAAAAGAGTAATGCCACAAAACAAATCTTCAACTGGTGTCCATTGCTATAGAAAACTTAAAAAGAGAGTAGGAGGCTCGCTGATCATAAGAATCAGAAGAATCCTGTGTATGTAGCAGACTTTTTTTTTTTACTCTTCTCATCACTTCCCCTTCTTCCTCCCTTAAAAAAAAAACAAACTTGCGAGCTCATTGCATGAAGACTACTAATAAATATGTAAGGAATTTTCTTACTGATGAATGATACAGATAATGGCATACAATTTTCTGACCATACTGGAAAGTATTTAAAGGATAGTCAATCAGCTAGTCTTCTTGGACAGGTGTTTGTACACTGACAAATATAAAGCATAATGGTACCTCATAACATGTGCTTGCATGCCCTTCTGCATCCTAAAGTAAGGCAATTGGTTGAGTCTTGATCAAATAGAGCTTTGAAAAAGGACTACAGCAAACACGTTAGACATAGCTTGCATATTGCACAATTTGCCCTTACAGTCACAGTATCATGGAGTAGTATTTGTTGCAGATGTACTTTGTCACAGGCCAATTTATTCTTACTTCAAATTCTTCTGTCAAAATGTGGGAAACTGTAATTATGCAAATGAAAACATGCACTGTGTAACTTTCTTTAATTTTTCCTCTATTTATTGTCCTTTTAGTGTGAAGAAAATGGTAGAAATCAATTTTCTGTGTGTCCATAAGAAACTGAGATCTAAACGGGTAGCACCTGTACTAATTCGGGAAATAACCAGAAGAGTAAACCTGGAAGGAATTTTTCAAGCTGTTTACACTGCTGGAGTGGTACTTCCCAAACCTGTGGCCACTTGCAGGTAACCTAGGTGATGCTCATAATAACACTGGTTCCTACAGCAGTCATTTTAAAGAAAATTTAATGTAATTGCCTAGAAACAATAAAAGCATAAAATTCAAAGTTGTTAAATGCTGTGGCCTTGACTAACCTGAAGGCCTGAATGTTTGTCAGGGTTGGTTTTTTTGATTCCCACCCCCACCCCCCCCCGTGCCTTGGATAAAACAGCTTCTCGGACTAAAATTTAATTTTGGGTTTGTTAGCATACCTTAAATAGACTAATCAATATTTCTGTTGACCTTGTTGTGAAAGCCATGCTAGCATTGACAACCTTGTATACCTGTGTTTTTTCAAGTGTCCTGTTTCCCTGCTGGGACACTTCCCTGTTGACCTGGTTGCTTGCCAGAGATGGCAGAGCATTTCTGGGAATTGTATGATTTGCTTTTTTGAGATACTTTCATCTTTCCTGGAGAAAGGAGGTCTTGATCGGCATTTGATAAAGATGGGACAGCTGCCATGTGGGAAGAGTTACAACCAAGTATAATTTCATTTGCTTTGAGTGGATTATATTTCTACTAGGAAAGGTTCAGTTCCTGCAGTTTTAGTCCAGCTGTCTGGCATTCTGGAGGACAGAGTAGTTTTTGATTTGAAATTGTTTTGTACCTACCAACAGCAAAGATCCTGTAAGTTTCTGTAAGGAAGGATGGGAGGAAAAAAAAGCCATGCTGTGTTAGTAACAGAGTAACAGTAATCGGTTGCTCAGTGATCTCCCAGTAAGGGGAGATCTTCAACAAAAGGCTTAGACGTGAGCAGAGCGTCCTGTCTGCACAAGAAAATAAATGTTATCCATGTAAGTATGGTGAGTTTTTCAGAGCTATGATAAGTACTAAAATGTTTAACCCTGGGCTCACTCATTCTGTATCAAAAAGCATTTGCTTAAATTCAAAATACTGTGATAGCAGGCCTGTTTAAAAGCTATTGCTTGGATATAGCTTTTCCTTAATTTTTTTGTTGCTTAAGCTTCTTACAGACATAGTACAGGCTTGCTTAGAAACAAATTTGGAGAGGAAAGGAGCAATGCAGTAAAGCAGGGAAATGGATGCAAGTAAAGCTGACACTTAAAATAGTATTTAAATTCATTATTAATTTTATTTCCAGGTATTGGCATCGATCACTAAATCCCAGAAAATTGGTGGAGGTGAAATTTTCACATTTGAGTAGAAACATGACTCTACAAAGAACAATGAAGCTCTACAGACTTCCTGATGTAAGCAGTATGACTTCTAGAGAATCCCCACAGTTATTGTGAAGCCTAAAATAACCTTCCATCTGTCTCTGACAGCACAGGCTTTTCTGTGTAAAGGCAGTGTGTGCAGGACATTAAAAAAAAATAATCTCTGCTTGATGAAAAAGACATTAAGGGCTATACTAAACAGAGGAGGCTATTGCCGGAAATCTTGATCTCTGTATGGAGAAAACATAAATTTTGACCTAAAATCCTAAAACAAAGGAAAAAAACCCAGAAACCTTGACTTCATAAACATGTGGGATTGAGTTGAAGATGCATAAGACTATTCTCAGTATGTTTAATCTGTTAAGAGATTACTGGTACAGAAAATCAACAGTTCACATCTTAAAATTCTCAAAGAAGTCCATCAGCAACTTGGCTGAGTACAGTCATATTCTTGATTCCACTCTAATTCAGTCCTTTTCTGTTCAGTCAGAGAATGTTGTTCTTTGCAATGAGCAGGCTCTGCAAAAGCCACCTCAGTATGTTGTGTACTGTTTGTTTGCACGGTCTAGTAAAAAACAAGTGTTCTAGCATAGCTAGGTTAGTTAAAAATATTTTTTCTCATGTTTGCAGCTAATAGTTAAGCTTGCAAAAAGCCTTAGGGTGCAATTTCCATGACAGGGCAAGTCAGTATAAGTACTATGTACTATTAAAAAATCTCATTGCTGTCATTAATAGCCTGTAGAAGTCAGTCTGAGCTTTATGGTGAAAACAATATCTTTGCTTGTAAAAGCCACCTTTCAATTGGAAGGGATTGCAGAGTATACTTTACCTGTACCTTATCAGTAGACCTTTTTTTATTAAAACAAAACTATTCTTTTAGTTAAAAATACGCGCTTTTCCTCACAGTACTTTGTAATAATTTATCTGATTTTGGAGAATTGTGTCTTGTTAGCTTGATGCTGCAGATTCTCCTACTGCTGAAGTATTTAAGTGGTACACTGAGCACTCCTTGGAATAAAGCACGTGCCATGGCTTGATCTGTGCTCCTGCTGCTGTCAGAGAGACTCGTTTCCTGCACTGCCTGCGTGCCAACTGTGCTGCACACGCAGCTTCTCCCTTGCGTGCAGGGCAGCAGTTTTCAGAGCTTAAGAATTAATAACCAAATTAATTAGGTTTTAATCTTGGAAAGCTAAATATAGCTTCCATCAAATCTTGAAGACATTTTTAAAAGTCTGAAAAAGTGCAGTATACAATTTCAAATACAGGTTTTGGTGGCAACTCTAGTAACATTTCTCATGGAAACAATTCAGGAAGCGAATAGTTTAAAGAATAAGGATCTTACTTACAGTACCAAAACTACAGAGAGTCATTAGAAACAGCATTTATACCCTGATCATCTTCCTTCAGCATAAAACCCAGTTTCAACAGAAAAGTGAATTATGGAAAACAAATAATACATCGTATCTCATTACTATGGGCAAGGCAAACATATACTGTACACAGAAGTGCAAATAGAAAATGGGTGCTTTCAAAATCAGCTTTTAAAACTAAATGATGTAGGAATCCATATACTTCAGTTATTTATTTTTAGACTGGATTTGGGAACTTCTCCCATATAAAATGAAGATTTAATCTTTGTGCTAATATTTTCTCTCTAAGTCTTGTGCTTTGGGTTTATTTGGATGTTGTTTATTTCCCCGAGAAGGGGTTTAAGTGCTGTTGAGAATCTTTTTTCTGAGTTTCAGGCTGTTATCATAAACAGGCCTGTCACACAAATTTGACAATTCAGGCCATGCTATCCTGTCCCTCAGCACCACTGTTTCTTGTATTTTAACCTCTTTTCTTAGCGTCCTTGGAATATCATTGCCACTGGGAGCTCATCTCCCTTTAAGAGAATTAATCATTCCTAATCACTTGAACAGCCTGAATTAAAAAGGTTTTCAGATATAATAAGTACTGTAATTAATAAATACTACCCTTTCTAAAGGCTGTGCACATACCTTTAGATACGAAAAGTAAAAGTTTTTTTTTTTCTAAGTGTTTAATCTCTTGAGAAAGGAGTTTTCTGAAAGAGGTAGATTTTGTCTGTTTTTAGAGTAAGGAGAGGAGCATGTTTGTATGTCTTTTCCTGACTGACTGAGATCCTGACACTGGATAGTTGCATGAATGTGTGGCCAGTGCAGCTTGATATGTGAAGCAGAGAAACAAATTTTAGCCCAGTTCTGTACACTTTCCCTCATTTCTGGGGTTGCAAATGATCATTTAATGGTGGACATTCTGAGCATTGCTGGGAGAAAAAGATGTTCCAGCCCAGCTGTTTTTCCTCCATCCTTTCTGTTAGTCAGGTGTACACCCTTATGGAATAAAAGCATTTTAACGTGTAGGTGATGTTCTGTTGTGGAGTCAAACCATAGTCCCAGGCTGCTAAAAAAAGCAGGAAGACTAAATACAGTCCAGAGCTGCAGCAAAATGTGCCTTGATTTCTCATCTGGCTGCTGACTCCCAGAGTGCATCAATAATACCTCCCCCAGAATAATGCCTTTTGGCCAAAGCCTAATCAGCTACACTAATTTCAGGCTTCCAGTAATCAAGTCTCTACCTGGCTGCTCTTGCAATTGACTTTGCTATGATTAATGTGATACGTGCCCAAGTATGTAGCTCAGGCAGACGAAACAGGATAAATGAGCTCTGAAGAGAACAAGTGTTAGCCTCCCTAAAAGGAAATAGTCAGGAAAGCCAACAAAAGCTTGCAAGAAAATTTTAATCACCTTCACTTGTTTAAATTAATTGCATAGTACTAGAAGGCAATTTTTTTCTCTTCTGATGTTTAAAGTAAAAAACAAACAAACAACAACAACAACAACAAAACAAACACCTGTTTAAATACTGTAGGTTTTTAATTTCAGGCAGCTGTAAATTATGAGAAGCTTTCTTGTTAACAGAATAGCAGTTGTGCCTGTATAGAAACTTGGGTTAGCAAGGGAGTTTGCAAATGCTAAGAATAGGTAGTAGTACACTAAGCAGTCCTTGAAATCTTTTTTGTTAAATAATTTCTAATTAAACTTTTTCAGCTGATTTTGATGTATAGTTTGACTGTAAATTTGAATTGCTTGTGTTCTTGTCTTCAGATTAACTTCTGATACACAGGCTACATTGTTTTGTTTCTGTGTCTGGGCCCTAGGTAGTTCAGAAGAAAGTAAGAAATAAACTGACCTAAAAAAAAAAAACACAAACTGCACAAAGTCTAAGCTGTTGGCAATGGTATGTCTTTCTCTGGAGAAATGAAGCTCTTTCAATAATGAAATATAAAGATTGAAGTGCCCCAGACTGTTTCAATAATTAGAAGAGAGGGAATTCTGATTGAAAGCCATTTGTAAAATAGCATAATGAATTAGGTGGCTGGGATGAAGTAGACTAATAATGAATGCATTATAGCAAGTGTAGTGACTCTGCAACCTACTTTCAGCCTTTGCTGTGTTTGCAGTTTTCCTTTCAACATCTTAACATGTATTTTTCTTTTGTTACAATAAGGCCACAAAGACTTCAGGTTTGAGACCAATGGAACAAAAAGATACTAAAGCAGTACAAGAATTAATCAACACTTACTTGAAACAGTTTAATCTTGCTCCTGTGATGGATGAAGAAGAGGTAGCCCACTGGTTCCTGCCTCGGGATCATATTATTGACACTTACGTGGTGGAGGTAAAATATGCCCTAATGTATATGAATGTATATGTGAATGCCACTTACAATAGTTCATATCAGCATCAAGTTTTTGGAATGTGGGCAGTATGAAAAATGTATGTTATAGGTAGAATTTGATATCATGATTACAGGTTTTGTTCTTTTTATTGCATTCTGTTAACAAAAAAAAGTTTGGTTGTGATAAACTGCAGTGCTCTTATAATAGGATATCTTAAAGAATTCTGAAATATCACTGTCTTGGCAAGATTACAACAAAGAACTTCACATACTTTAAGGTCAACTCTTCCACCTGCATTTCTTGATTCTTTTTTCACAGAGATATGACATCATAATAAGCAGTGATTTTCAAACTTCCTTTTCTAGGAAAAAAGGAAGAACGATGCAGTGACTGAGATAAGGATTTGGTTTGAATTGACTGTCATTTTCTCAGGTGTAAATGTTTCTGCCATACACCAGTACAAAATTCTTTATTTTTAAACCCAATTTTAGATGCACCTGCTGGGAAAATTATGTTTTTTGATGATCTGCTTCAGTAAAATGTGGGGTTTTTTCAATAAATGCATGTATATATATGTTTGAATTTCTGTGTGTGTATATATATATATATATATAGTATATATATACATAATATATATATATATACACCTACCACCTCCACCTTCCAAACAGTTGGTGCTAATGCTCCTCTCAAAATAAGCAAATGCAGGAAAAGATGAGCATTTGGAATGGGTGCAATAAAGCTAGTGGAGAAAGATATGCTCTTCCCTTTGAGTCCATACAAAATCAGTTATAGACATCATATTTAGATAGTGTATTACTTAAAGTAATAATGTTATTTAAAAATGATCAGCAGTAACATCCTTAAACCTACCAGCTCCTCATAGAAGCTGCAGGTTGTGAAGCTCAGTGTTCCCACACTGCAGCCTGAATTTGTACAGGAGCTTCAGCTGAGTTAGGAAACTTAGTGCTGCTGGAGATGATTGGTCCTGCTCATCAGTTATTGTCCAAGCTTAGCTTTCTACTTACTTTGTAGTGGGTCTAGTGCTCATTGGACTTTTCCGTGTTCTGATTTATAGTCCCTCCTTCTTTTTCCACACCTTCTCCCTGCCCTCCATCTGCTCCCTGGGTTGGCTTTTGGCTTTGTTTGTGACTTGAAACCTGCAGGAGAGCCCAGAAACACCAGGATCAACATGAATGTGATGGTGGCAGTGCCATTCTAACTGAACAGCAGAGTCTTTAATTGCTTGTTTTACACTATCTCTTGAACTAGTTTTTCACTATAGAAAATGGAAGTTTGTTAATGCTGGAGATTGTAACCTGGAGATGTTAGTGTCAGACTTTTAAATCATCTTTGTAATATGCAGAGCTAAAACCTTAAAATACTCTGTATAATTTCTGAGTTGACATTTTCATCATCCTTACTGAATTCAGTGAGTGACTTAATAACTTTTCTGTTACTCTCTACTACAGGATCCATACCTGCTCTAAGACAAATAGGTTTTCTGCATGTGATAGGTTCAACTGTTTTACTTTTTTACTGTAGCAGTACACTTAATTTAAGCATCCATGTGAGGTCCTTCATTGAGCACTAAATAGTGAGCACTAGTCATTCAAAAATAAAGCAAACAAGCAGTAACGAGCATTTTTGTGTCTCCTTGGCCTTATCTTCTTGGAAATAAGGAGAGAAAATCTGGGTAGTTTTTTTACCCATGTTATAATTATTTCCCATTTCCTGCTAATCTACACTCTTGGAGATGCTTAAATTTCCTTAGGTGCGTGAAATATTAAGAAGTTTTATGTAGTATACTTTAAATTTCTGTATAAGCACCTTTTTTGGATGACTGTTAGTTTTATTAAAATTTCAATGTGATTTAGCACTGTTATCCAGACAGTTGCTTGTGCTTGGTGATTAATAATTATAAGGTAATTTAAATATGCTTTGTACACCAGCACAGTATATTTTTTTCTCTACTTTTAGAAAGATGAGAAAATTATTCCTTAACATGAACATCATCAGATTTTTAAAAATATCCTTAATATTTTGTTAAAAATCAGTTGGAAAAACACCTACATACTTTTTTTTGGAAGTGTGCTTTGTTAGCTCTGTCTATAGCAGACTAAGCTTGAGAAACAAACTGAACTGTTTTGACAACTGCTTGTCAAAGAGTTAGTGGTATAATAGACTAGAAAAATCTAAATGTTTGTTTCCTCAAATCTTAGCCAAGATTAGCTGTTATACCATAATACTTACAGTGCACAAACCTTGCTGGATTTATTACTTACCTTGTGTAGAACTGCCCTGTTAGCCTAACCAATAACTGAGCTGTTACTTCTTATTAATTAACGTGTTCACATTTTGTTTTTTCTTGTAGGGCTCAAATGGTATTTTAACAGACTTCCTGAGCTTCTACACATTACCTTCAACAGTGATGCATCATCCTGTTCATAAAAGCCTCAAAGCTGCCTATTCCTTTTACAATATTCATACAGAGACTCCCCTGTTGGACTTAATGAATGATGCACTCATTATAGCCAAATTGGTAAGTTATGGGTTGTTTTTTTTTTTTATGCTTCATTCACAAAAGTATTCTTAGGAGTGGTGCCAAGGTAAGAACTGGCAGCAGTTTGTCCATGCCATTGCATTCAGTTTTACTGTCCACAGCACAGAGTGCAGTTGATGAGAGATATGCAATATGTATATCAAAGTACAAAGCACAGTGCTTGTTTTTCCTTTTTACTTTGAGTGATGCTAGGGAGTGACAAGTGCATAAAGATCAAGCACTTGCAGTAGCTTGAACTGTATAAACACCCAGGAGTACATCGATGACCATAGTCACTAAGTATCAGAAGAATGGAAAGTATCACTAAAATAATTTCCCTTGGAGATGAATTAATAACTTCTATCAAATACATTTTTGGTTTTTAAATTATTTTTTATTTCTAAAAAATATAAAAGTTTATTTATGTAAGCTTTATCATTTTACTGTGTTACCAGTTGCTACCTGTACAGCTTTGTAGGTGGTGTCATGTTGTAGCTTTTACGCATACCTTCATGCATGGAATTACACTGACAGATGGTTTGATTGAATGGAGGGGAAAAGACTATAAATGAAGTCCTTAAGCAGAAGAATTTTAAGAGTTTAGTACTGTCTGATGAAAAAGTAATGCTCAGCTCTTAGTCATCAGGGTTTCATGGGAGTGCAGTGTAAATACTAGTGGTCACATATTCTGTGGCCCAGACCTGTTTAGCCTGGGCAGTTCACAGCACTGCACAGGCTCCATCCAGTCCATGGCATCCATTCTAGCAACCATTCCCAACATGCTGCAGAGCACAGGCATGTTTTCTGCTTTTCATGCTTGACACTTGCCTCTCCAACTGAAGTGTTGCTGCCACACTGCTTGTGGTGTCACACCTGCCAGGTGAGTGCTCAACGCAGGTCATTCTGTGCTCCGAATGACCCCGCTCAGAGCCATGGCACGTGGCACAGGGATTTTTTTGTTGGTCCTATAGGAAACCAGTGATGGTCTGCAAAGGCTGCATCTGTTCAGACTTCAGGCTGCATGAAAGCAGCCATAGTCTTCAACTTGTCTGTCTCAGCCATGATCGTTCAGCCCTGCAGATGAGCTGTCATCTATCTCAGGAACTGCTTGCTGAGGCTGTTGACCTATAAGTAGTTCAGTAATTATTTGTCAGGGAAAACTCCTGAATAGTCATGGGGAATACAGAACCCTGTTACTCAGACTCCAGAATGATACAAAGGGAAGTTCAGAAACAGACTTTAAAAGGCAAGTGTAATTTTCAGAAGTGGCTAAAAATATTGGTACCGATTCCTAAAAATCAAGGTGGAAAAAGGGATAATGGTTGGTCTCCATTTGAAGTGTGGCATAGAGAGCCAAGTGTCTGGCCATTTAAAGGCCATAGATGGAACAGGTTTGGAGACAGTTACGTGGTGTAACTGCAAGGATGTGTACCTTCCCCTGTGTACATTTCTCTGTGAATGTGACGTGATTCTTTTCTTTTGAGTGGATTGTAATATAGTTACAATATATATAAATCCCATTAAATAACGGGATTTACACACCTGTGGATTTCAAAAGTACTTGCTGGGCCTGTCTGCATCATTAGATGCCTAATTACATTTGTAGATCTGGCACTTGAGTTTTACATGGTGAGAGCTGAGGCAAGGAAAGAGAACTGATAAATGCAGTCCTATTCACAGCTTTCTGTTTACAAACATACTGAGTCTGGCTGGGATGGAGTTAACTTTCTTCCTAGCAGCCCATATGGTGCTTTTCTTTGTGACTAAAGCAGGGCTGATAACACACCAGTGTTTTGGCTGTTACTGAAGGGTCTTGCTCAGCCTCAAGGCTTTCTTTCTTTCCCCCAGCACGAGTAGGCTGAGGGTGGGCAAGAAGCTGGGACACAGCCAGGAGAGCTGATGCCAACTGACCAAAGGGATATTGCATACCATATGATGTTCTGCTCCGTAATAAAGGCTGAAGCAAGGGAGGAGGAAGAAGGGATACTCCCAGGGATAGCATTTATCTTCCCTAACAATCATGCATGCTGAGATCTTGCTTTCCAGGAAGGAGCTTGACATCTGCCTGATGATGGGAAGTAGTGAATGAATTCTTCTTTTTGCTTTGCTTGTGCCTGCACTTTTGCTTTCTCTATCAAACTGTCATTATTTCGATTCACAGGACATCTTGCCTTCCTTCTATTTTCTCCCCATCCTATGGGAGAGAAGCCAGCCACAGGCTGTGAGGGAGTTTGGCTCTTGGCTGGGGACAACACACCATGGTCCCTTCTGCACTTTCACTCCAGATAATAGGGTTTGGAGGTACAAATTTAACTCAGCAAATTACTTTCAGGGTTTGCGTGCCCGTTTAATGTTTATTTTTATCTTCATAACATACTGTATAAAATTAACTTAGAACTAAGTCTAGTAAAATCTTGGCAGTTATAGGATAAAACACGTGACCCTCAAAGTAAAACCCAGAATTTAGAGTTATTCACTTAGGTTCCATGCATTCTGCGTGCAGAAAGTGGGATTTTGCATCAGGATAATCCCTCCAAAACCCTATGTATTTTATTGTGGAAGATGATACTCAGTTTCTAGATCTAGAACAGGAGAAAGCCTAGAAACAAGGAAGAAATTCACTTCTGAGTCTGCTTCAATAGTCTGTGAAGAGGTGTGAAGAAAGTACCTTTGAACAGGAACCTTTTTATACCTCTCATAAGATACTAACCTCAATCTAATCTGCTCATGTTTAGATACTGGACTAAAACTACATCTGTAGAGTTCATAATTTATTTGAATTTTGAGTGCTTAATTGCAGAGCTTAATGTGTCTGTACCTAGACTGCTTCTCTATTCTCCTCTGCTTCCCTTCCTGCCTTATGAGATTTCTGTTACTATCTCTTACTAACTTGGAATATTCCAAAATCTACTTTCAGTGCTAAGTGTCAAATCCTCACCACCTTATTTGTCTTGTTTCTATATGGCTTTTCACAGCACATTTAACTTAGCAAAGCTTCATCTGCACACAGAGTGATCTTTTTGCAAGGTGGTGGGAAACCTTACTAAACTCACTGTCTGTGCTTGTGACTTTATTTTGAATAGTCCTGATGTGGAGCTTAAAATGCTCATTTTCCTCAACTCCCTTTTTTCCTAATATGGGATGCTCATTTAAAAGAAAAAAAACCACCTGATTTTTATACTGAGTAAAGAATGTTCCTTACCCCATCTTCTTGTACTTAAGTAATTGAGCAGTATTGTTTTGTAACTTACTTTTGTCTTAAGTGTACATCATGTCCTGCTGGTGTGCTACCTTGGTGCTGTTAAGACTGCAAGATCTTAGTTCAGAATCCCTTGCAGTTAGTTGCACTTAAATGGACTTCTGTATCCACACTCCCGAGCAAATTCAGCTATCCATACATGCTGGTTGTCACTGTGATGGCTTAACTGACCTTGGGTTTATGCTGCTTGTTAGGAGTTCACAGTAAGTTAGGATTTGGATGTGTTTGTATTGCTGCACAAAACTCTTGAGACTGATTTGGCCATGTGGCTCTTCTGAGAGAAAAAATGGCTCTCTGAGTGGTGATTTGGGAGATTTATGAAAAGAGGACTTGGTAGAGGGTCCATGAGTAGGGGAGGGATTATCACCTGAAAGATTTTTGAGTTCTGAAGACCATGGCATTTCAGAAAAGGACTGAATCACAAAAATATGTTTATTGTTAACAGAATGATAAATTGAAAAACACCATAAGCTGTATTTATGCAGCTTCAGCTGGAATAGGCCATGTGTGTCAAAACATTGTATGTGATTTTTAAAAATGTGTATCTGTAAGGATAAAATTACAAAAAATGCTTTAGGGACTCTTCAGACCTTAGACCCTGAAAGTGGCTATAAAATTTGTACTCTCTTGGAGATAACCTTCAAGAAAAGCTGTGCTTTATACTTCAGTTTTTTTGGGAATATGTCTTTGTGTGTGTACCTAATTAAAAGACAAGATTTATTTCATTGTCTTCCTTTTAATTAACCTAGTCTTTTGGATACTGTATGCCACTGTGTAAAGTGTCATTTGAAACTTTAAAAAGTAAATTTTTTTTTTAAAAATGTTTTGCTGTTGCCAGAAAGGATTTGATGTATTCAATGCACTAGACTTAATGGAAAACAAAACATTCCTGGAAAAACTCAAGTTCGGGATTGGAGATGGAAATTTGCAGTATTATTTGTACAACTGGAGGTGTCCGGGCATGGAATCTGAAAAGGTAAAGAAGAAAAAACAGTTTCTGAATTCTGTTAGATGTAATTGTACATTAATCTACACTGGCCAAAAATGGGCAGAAGTTTTAAAATAACTTTTTTAATTGGCCTTTTTTATAATCCATAATTGAGGTGCAGGAAACTACTGATTTTAAGATGTATTGCCATACTTGAGCTAAAATACTATTTTTTTTCTTCTTCCTTTAGGTTGGTCTTGTATTACAATGAGGACACTCACATTTCTAGAACTCTGAGGTCATCGTTTTGAGTTAATTTGATCTCCATAACTCTTGGAATGGTATTGTTCAAGAGGAGTAAAAGCACAACGTCGGTGATACTGAAATAGTCCATTAAATCTGAACAATGAAAACATCCACATGTGACCAAATTTATGCATTTTCAGATAGATCAGAAGGCCCATGAAACTCTTCTATTGTCCATGAAAAGAATAAAAAGCACATTCATTTAAGTTTCAAAGCTTAGCTTGCACCTTGATGAGAAGAAGGTATTTTTTTCCACTCTGTAGAAAAGACTGTTTTGTACAAACTGAACTTCAGTGGTGGATTAGGGTACAAAAATATTTGCTATTATGTGGATGAACTGCTGCATTTCTATTTATTAAGTGGTGGTGTATGTTTGTCAGTGTAACCGAATGAAGGATACAAATTCGAGTATCTTTGCTTATTTACTTCACGTGGATATCATCATTTGGGGGAAAATCAAGAAGTACGATACGTTTGTAGCTCTATGAAAGTCCTGGATGCTTTTGTAACTGGAGCAGTATGACAATGTACTGGTTTAACTAGTGCATTTGTTTCTCCATAAGCAACGCTGCCAAATCAATAAAAAATACAGATTTGTACTTTGATCTTCAATAGATCAGTGGATTGATTTAACAGTATCGCACTGTTCAGTGCAGGTGTTATCTATGTTGCCGGAATGATAATACATTACTGTACTTAATTTACAGTTGTGGCACAAAACCTTAGTTTTTCCTCAGTAGAATAACATCAGCCTGTGTGTAAAACTAAGAATTTTAGTAGTGCTATCAGGATGTTTATAGTTTGAATGTTTTCAACGCTTCTGCGAAATTGCACATATTCCTTTGTCTACTTTGATTTCCTATGAAGTCTGTAATAATGAAAAGTATCTTGTGTAAATATGTATTCATAAATTGTTCCTGGTAGTGTTTTTATCCTGAATTTGGAACAAGAAGTTTTGCTATATATGTGGCTGGTAAGCAGAAGAGAAATGCTCTGCCCTCAGTCCTTGGAAGTCTCTGTAACTGCGCTTCCTGAAATGTAGGAGGGCTGATCTTTATTGTTGGGTGGAGCTGTTTTAATTCCCTCATGAATGCTCAGCAACGGGAGTGGCTTCTGAAGCACTTTATATGCATTCCAGCGTAGTGTCATAGCTAGATATGATAGCAGTTCTTTCAGCTCATGGATGCTGCAGTAATGGGAGCACTGAGAAAATCTGCATTAAGAAACTGTTCTAGCTGAAAGTGCCAAATTGTGGTAGTGAAGCCTCTGTGCTGTGAGCATCTTTTGAATGTGACTTGAATATCTCATGAAATGCAAATGTCTAACTTTCCTTTTAAACATGCCTGTAATTCTGACAGCAGATTTTGCTGAAAGTTTAATTCTGTACATGAAGATAAATTTGTCTGTTCTTCATAACTGATAGCTCTACCCACCTCCTTGTAGCAGTGGGGTTTTTCTTTCTTCCTGCTCCTTTTCCAATGTGTGAATGGTTTGTGTTTTGGTTTCTTTTTCTTGTTGAATTGTGGTGAGAGGATTCTCCCCTAGAAACAGTGATACTTTCCCTTACTGCATTATAGCTCTGTGATTAAAGCATCCGACCTCCTTCAAACAAAGGAAGGGACTGAATGTGGTTTGTCTGACTCCTGGGTGTGCACCAGCTTGGGACCTCATGAATTTAAAAGGACTTCAAAGGAGATCTAATGGTGCAGTTGGGCTTTACCTCTCTGGCCACTCTGATACCTGTCTGCTAGTAGCAGTAACAACAGATGGTGCAGAGGAAGTTTGGACTCTCTATGTGAGGCCTGAGGAGAATTAAGTGCCTGAAAATATCACTGATGGTAGTGGTATCTGAGATAACAAGAAGGATTTAATCTCAGCTCCATCGAAGACTTAAGTTTTTGACTCCCAAAAGGCATGAAGGTGCCCCCCTGGCAGGGCATTCTCATTGGAGCTCTCTGCGATGAGGAGGAGGTTCACCAAGGGGCTCAGTGTGGGCTGCTTAGGTTCTAAGGGCAGAGCCTTGTCAATCCTCGCTCGGGGCTGCCAAATGTGAGGTGGGACAGCAGAGCACAGCTCTGTCCTCACGTATAAGGTACTTCCTTGCTAAGAAACAGTCACAACCCAGCTCTCCCTAATCTGGATGGGTGGTGTTTGAATGCCAGGTGGAAGATACACTCATGTTCTCTGCCTTCCTTCCCCTCAAAAAAATGCACATGGAAGACATGTTAGGCAGGTGTTTTCTTTTCTCTTCTCTGAAATCAGAAGGCAAATCCTCCAGAGTACTGTTGTTTGTAAAATTGAGGCCACGATGTGACCAATTATGTCCTGGCAGAAGACAGACTTGAACCTGGGTTTCCTGCAGCCTGGCTTTCTGCCCAAATATACAGGTTAGGGCACATGAAGAAAGGAGTGTGGCCACTCTTTTGCTCTGTTCTGGTAAAACAGAGCCATTTGCTTCTGAATCTGAGGGGTAAACTTCTGTGTCATTTTCTGGCTCACTTTCCATGTTAACTGAGGGTAGGGAGGGCAGAGTTATGCTCCTGTAGAAGCTGTCCAGCACTGTAACTGGGAGCAAATTTATCGGTCAGAGCATGAGGGAAGTGGGCAGCTGAGCCTGAGTGCTGGGGCAGTTCCTGGAGAGTTCTGTTCGTGAACCTGTGTGTTACCTAACAGCTGTGCAATCCAGCATGGTCTCTTCTGTCCCTGTTGAGTGCTCTTCACCTCGAGTGCTTTGCTGAAGTATCACAGCGTCAAGAGGACACGAATCTTGAAGGTGTCCCAGCCTACACGCACACAGTAAGACAGTTACTCAGGAGGTGAAAATTGTGGCAACTCACTTTCGCTTTCTAAGCAGGTATTTAACAATAGATGAATATCTGTGTGGGTGTCACTGTCAGCAGCTCAATAAGAGAGGCTCTTCTGTTGTTTCCAAACTTGAACCTGTGCATTAGGCTTGCTATAAAGATAAGACTCCTCAAAACCCAATAGGTGTTTGTACAAAAATTGGCAAATGTAAGGCTTGCTCCACCACCTTTCCCACCTGCCTTTTTAAATATCTTTTGGTCTTGAAGAAAGAACATAATTTCTTTCCCAAAGTAACTTCCTATCTTCAGAGGGGACACAAATCCCTGAAGAAAGATCCCTGCAGGCAGGCAGCAAAGTGCTTGAAAGATGATTGCTGTGCTTATGTTCTTTACCAAAGCTATGTGCTCTGTTTAAATGCTAAGACTTCTGTGTTACGGTTAGCCAGCCTGGGAATGAAATACACTAGTGCTAGCATGCCTTCAAAGTTTTATGCATCCAGAAAGCCAGAACAAAAGACATGTTTGAAGGACTGCAAAGCAAGGGAAAAAACCCTTGCCTCTTCTTGCCACCCTCAGACAAGGACAAAAATTTTAGCATTAAATGTTTTGTTTAAACTTCAAGGAGCATCATGACTACAGAATCATCGCTATTGCCTGCCTTTGTAGTTGGTATCATGGACTTAAGTAATTTCTAAATAAATCCAAGAGACAGATGAGCTATCGGATGGCATTGGAAGTTTGGATCAGCAAATCTCTGAAAACTATGTGTAAATTCCACCTTTAAGGAACTACAAAGTAACTCAGTTATTTTAAGCTTTCTTCTACAAGTAAATTTCTAGGCTGTTGATTATCTGAATTGCAGCAATGTTCCCCTTCCTTACTATAATACAACTGTCTCATTAGGAAACTGTTCATAGTCCCCAGTAAAACTAAAGGAAAATCAAAAGTTACATGGTATGTTTCCAGTCTTCTAACACTTATATCTCTCATCTACTTTATATACAACAGTATATGGCTTATCTCAATTTCCTGGGAAACAATTTTAGACTTCCTTTAGAAATCTAATTGAGTTTAGATTTACATTTTCTTACAGGAATTGTGTTAATAATGGAAGTATTTTTTTTCATACTGCAGCAGTAGTAATTTGGTTGTGTTTTGTATTTGAAAATAAAAGCTTTTCCTCCAGCATACCCTACACCAGGTATCAGGTGAAACCCAAGTCTGCATACATTTGTGACCAAAACAAGTTTATTGTTCAGCAGAAAAAACTATAATAGAGTTCAAAAGGGAAGTCTGCCTGTGCTGTTACAGCTGTTTACTTGAAACCAGCTTTAAAAGACTTATACTGGCATGGACCTTTGTTTAAATAAACTTTCACTTTTGGTATTGATTTGTTTGAGTAATTATACTTAAATCTGTTTTGCTTAAAGCATGTTCATCTGTGTAAAGATACAAAGTTCATTTAATGCTTTGCATTAATTCCAGAGATGTATTAATTATCTGTTAAAATTACTTTGCTATGTTCATTGCCAACTTTAACTCTCTGATCTCCAACTACAAATGAAATACTTACCCCAGGTAGAGACTGACACTTAGGTCTGAGCAATATTCTTTATTAAAGCAGAAAGTACCTCAACCGAATGCAACATAAAATTCACCTTGTATTCAAAAGCTTTACACTGTAAAGCCTAAAAAGATTGTTCAGTTAGGACTATACTCCATTCTGCATGTAAAAAATCAGTTTAATAGAACCAAACTACAATCACTTATGCTGAAAAAGCTTTTTTCTTTTTGCGAGGTGGTTTCTTTATCTTATTGGGATTTGGGACAAGTTTCTTGATTTTCAAAGGCTGCAAAATTACATTTGAAAGATCAGGCTGATTGCTTTCTGTACGCTTCCGCTTCTGGCTTGTGAGCTCATCCCCCAGTGCCTCTGCAAGCTCGTCAGGTTCTTCGTTTTCTGAAGAATCTGTATCTGCATAAGCCACAGATTCTTCAGTTCTGTACTGAAACCACGGCACTTCCAGTGCTGGTATCTTTGGAATTATTGCTTCTATTGTTTCAGTAAATTTATCAGACTGCTTTTTGAAGCCTAGTGCTAAAATGGATGTTAAGCCAAGAAGTGGCGCAACTGTTTCACTGAGCCGGGGTACTTGGCCTGCGGGTGTGGCTCGACTTGCGCTCAGCTCAATGAGATGCGATGTGATCATGGCAGGCTTTGCAGACTTGCACACCAGCAAGAGAAGCAGTTCATTTCTTTCCAATGCTTTTGTAACTTCATTAACTCCAATAGCAAGCTGTCTTCTGATACTTATGTCAGTCCACCCTGGTTTTTGTTGATGGCTTTCTGTTTCCTCCTCTTTAGGGAGTTTGTTGGTGGTAGCATCGCACTTTCTTTCCATTTGTTTTTTTGTAAGGGAACGTTTTTTCTTTCTTGGACTCTCAATCTTTTTAAGTCCAACATGTTTAATCCTTTCTTCTAAGGTCTGTAGTATAAAATGCATATCTTTTCCATCTATGGTTTTCCACTGAAAAACAAAGGGGTTATCTAGACACGTTTTTACAGTGATTTTCTTTGCTTTACGAAGTGTTGCCGTCCCTTGCTGAATTACAGACATCCTGAGGTTCTTCTGTGTTTTGTCACCCTAGGGAAGAAAGAAACATTAGTCGAAGTACTGTACCGTTTGCTGGGAACGTCACTACCACAAGCCTCTTTTGGGAATGCAGAAAAGAAATGTCAAATATCCTATGTCAAAGTGATATTGGCAACTGTCACCTTCCTCACAGTGCTCAGTGCTAATCCTTCACACATCTTCTGGAAGGCAGATGCTGTGTTGCTTTTTTTTGTTTATAAATAATAAAAAACTAGACTGGACAGCAAGGCAGTGATGAAACCCTTCAGAAGCTGAACAAAAGGAGCTGGAGGTATTACAGATGTAAAAAAACAAACAAAAAACCACAAACAATTCCACCCCCAGAGTCATGGGCCACTACATTTTTGCTGTTGCACAGCTGCATTGTCCCCCATGCATGTGAGGAAAAAAAAAAAAAGCTAAATCACAACATGACACAAGCTCCAAGTCCCTAAATTTATTTAAGATTTTCAGAAATTTGTCTTTTCAGTCTTTACTCCACGCCTTTGTGTTTTTCTGCATTTGGAAGGCATGACAGAGATCTGCCTCAGACTCTTATTAATTTATGCTGTGAACCCTATGAAATGCCCTGGGTCACCCCAGCAAAGGCCCATCCAGCCCTGCTGTGTCTCCAGCAGCAGGAACTAGAGAAACCGTTAGGGAAGGACAGGCTGCCATTCTCCTCAGCTCCCAAACACACAGAATGGTTGCATCTGGGAGGTAAGATCTGACAGCTTACCCTATTAGTCCTTTATGGAGCTATCATTCATGCAGTTATCCCCTTTGCTAATCATATAGTGGCAACAACCAAAAAGTGGAAACAACTAAAGAATGGAAAGGACCACTAGAAACCTAAAATGCGACCGAGTTAGAAATGGAAGCTTATGACAACTTAAAAAAATTAGCTCTGGGTTATATCTTCTAAAAGCTTTTAACTGGGGATGCTCTGATGACTTTTTACAGGGGATATCAAGCAAAGTTAGCAACAGACTCGTGTATGAGAAAGAAGCAAAACATGAAGGATTTCCCAGCTGAAAGATTACAGTTATCTTTCCAAAATGGGTACTGCTGAGGAAAACAAGCGTGCAGGGATAAGATAAAAACTAGAAACACCGGGCTTGTCCACCTCGCGCCGCTGTCACGACCCTCTCGCTTCCTGCGGAAGGGAGAACAGGAGAAGCGCCGCCCACGTTCACCTCCGCCAGGAACCCCCTGCAGCCCCTTTCCGCTCCGCTCCGCGGGCGCCGCCCGCTCCCGACGCAGAGAAGCGCGGGTCAGAGCACG